TGAACTGGTAGGCTAAATGCAGAAATTACTGCTTCCAGTGGCTTTAAGGCAGAGTTTAAGGAAGGAGAGGAGGAAGGGAACAACTTTTATTTTTCACCCTCAGGAGTGTTTTGGGAGATGGGGGAGGAGAAAAGCTGCAGCTCTTTGGAGAGCTCATATGGAGAGCATCACAGCAACCATCAGGCTCCTGCTAAGAGATTAGGAACTCTGTTTTCCTTTGTGATCCACCTGATGTGTTTCATTAACATTAATAAAAATGGAATTTTTATGAGAAATTCCACTCTAATTATCTTTATAATTAAGTTTCTTGTTTCTACTACGTAGGGCTGTTTTCACCATTTTCAGTTGGAAAAATGTAAGTTAATAGTGATTTCTTTATTTTTCACTGATTTGCAATTCATTCAGGAAGGTCAGCAAGTACTTTATATGAATCTGTTTGACCTGGCAATTGCACACGAACCATGCTGAGTCAATAGATGATGCATACCTGGAATGAGATTTACAACTGTTTGTCTGTGTTTCATTGTTTTCCCTTCCTTAATTGGATGACCTGAGTTTAATTATTAATGCTACCTGAAGCCAATATAATCTAATCCTGTAAGAAATCATTTGACTTGCTGGCAATCTCAGAACCACACAGATTCTTATTAAAATGATTGAGAATTCCTTTTACCCCCTTCTTACTCTTTTGAGTTAAACTCAGTTGCATTCACCATAGATAGTGGAATCTATTTCTCTTCTTTCTTTTTCTTATACCTGTGGAGCATACAGCTGTAATGCACATGCAGTCATGTACCCTAATTCTTCAGCAAGTTCTTTAAAATTTCTGCAAATCAGGGAGATGTTTTGATGGTTCTACAAGCTTGTTTTGTCATGTTCTTTCGTATAGTTTGTGCTTGCTTAAATGGTACTTATTCTCACCTTTCACTGTTATTTGTTTTGTTTTTAATCGTTTTAAATGATGTCTTTGACTGCTGTGTATTGTTACTGTAAGGACTTGGCTCTTTTTCTTCAAATAAGGAAAGCATGACCCCTGTATCATTTAATTACACAGCTAGTCGACATTCCGTAGTAGAAATGTTTAAATGTGCAAGTTTTGGTGCAAGAGTACAAAAAGCAGAAGAGAATATAAGGAACATTAAACTACTTAAAATTCAGGCAATGTTCATATTATTAGAAGTTTTCGTGCTAAAAATACACATATTTAGAGGTTGTTGTACAGTTTTCTCTGTGGGGAGGGATAAAGCTGTTATAGAAACCTACTAGATTTGTGTTGAGTCTTTTTCGAATACAAATGTGTCTTTTCAGGTCTCTCTCTTCAGTTGCTAACATGGTGAACAAATGTGGTTATTTTATGATATACACTGTCTTTGTATAACTAGTGCTTATCCCTTATACTGCCAGCAGTGACAGGAAACTGTTTACTACTGCTACACAGAGGAGAAACAGGAAAATTCAGTGCTGGGGTGTGTCATTAGTGCGTGCAGACTTACCCCACATCCCTGTAATCTGTGGAAGCTTTATTATTGAATTCAATCACAGGAATCTCGGCTGCAGCAAAGGAGTTAGTACTACTTGCTTTAATATTGATTTGTGAATGAGTAAACATGACAGCATTATTTGCTTTGCCTTGTTGCATATTAGTGTTTGAGAGCATATTTACCAAATACGCCCTGATGGAAATGTTTTTCTGTACAAATCTGGCTATTATGATTTTGAAATAGGTAAAAAAAATTGCATGGCATTCTTGTTCTTCTAGTGCGTTTGACTCCCAGATGACTATAAACAGGCAGTAAAATGTCAGAATGATGAGAGTGAGAAGCACTGGGAGAAGTGATGGATAAAAAAGCCCTTCAGATCACGCTCTTTCTAAATGACCTTGCACATGATGGGCACAAATTTGTATTTTGCATGAAAACCTGTTGTTTGTGAAGAATAGATGTTGGTGGAAAGGGAATGTGAAAAGAAAGGCAGGCGTGGATGTCAGTTTTTCAAATGGTGCGAAAGGGCTGAGTGCATCTGAAAAGCAGAGATGTGAATTTCTCAGTACATAACTAACCTACGTGGAATGTCAAATATTTATAGATACCTAAAATAACAACGTGAGGTCCTTCTAAGCTGCATTATTTATATTTTAGGCAAAAGCAAATTATTTTTTATGCTTTTTTTCTAAAAGTGTTCTACTTAAGTGTATTCTTCTATACTTCCGAAACAATCTGGTAGATTGTGAGAGTGTGAGCCTCATTGCTTTTCTAATGCACACTTTGATTGATTGAAACACATCACTGAAGGCCACTGTGAGTGATGAGATCAAAGCTGAAAGAATGTGTGAGAGGGCGCAGACAGAAGAGAGTTATGAAGTTCATAGAATTATAGAACTATTTTAGTTGAAAGAGACCCTTAAAGATCATGTAGTCCAACTCCCCCACAATGAAAAGAGACACCTACTAGATCAGGTTGCTCAGTGCTCTCTCCAGCCTGACCTTGGTTGTTTCCAGGGATGAGGCATCCCCCATTTCCCTGGGCAACCTGTTCCACTGCTTTCATCACTCTTATGATAAAAAAAAAAACAAAAAACAAACAAACAAACAAAAAACACCTTTGCTCTTACACCCAATCTAAATCTTTCCTTCTTTATTTTGGAATGGTTTTTCCCTTGTCCTACTGTAACAGACCCTGCTAAAGATTCTGTCCCCACACAAACTCTGTATTCAGAACAGATATGAAAAGGAAAAGAAACAAGAATCAATAATATCATGCAGTATAGGTTAGTTGATTACCTTTTAAGTTGTCTACTTCTTCAATTCAAACTGCAGATAATAAAATTCAAATTTCACCAAATATTCAGATTCCCTATCATATGTTGTTTCTTGCAGCTCCATCGCTAATAGCAAATCTGACAGCTTTTACTTCGATTTGTGAATGTGCTGGAAAACTTCTTTGTGAACATGACTATTTTCCAGTAAACTCAAGTAGCCTCATAGATCCCAGTAGTCTCCCTAGGCTAAATGATTAATCCAAATATTCTTCTTGTGCTTTACTTTTCTTCCAGCTGAATAAATAAACTGAGTATTTGCAGTAAAGATTTTTCAAGTGTAATCAATGCAACCAAGAAAAAATCGATCAGGTTTACAGAACCAATCCAGTCCTTATTTGCAATAAAAGTCATTATAATCTCTCTCTTATTGCTGATGCTTTCTGTAAAAATTCCAAGCAGTGAAATACTTGGGTTTTACACTCCAGATGAGGAAGACTTTTAAAGAGACATGAATTTGCAGTCTTAACACCAAATACTGATTTTTTTCCTTGACTTTCCTTATTTTCTAATTCATTTAAAATTGTACTATTTATTACTATTATTTTTACATCATCAGTGATCTCTAGATTTCTGCAATGTATTTATTTCTAGATACATGCTTCAGTGTGTTTTTAATCCATTAAATGAGTATTGTCAATATTAATAGTTGCTATGAAATCTAATTTAATAATAAGAAAAGCTAATATTGAAGAACAGTTTTTTGTTAGTTTACTATCGGAGACACAAAAAACTGGTGCAGTGTTAGGATTCTTTTCTTCCTTACTTTTCAGGAATTATTGCTTTTGCTGAAGTTAAAAGAAGGTTTCTGGTTTATTTTTGAAGACGTAGTTTCCTAGTTTGCTGAAAATGGTTACAGGTTAACTCTCAGCGTGAATATATGGGAGTAGTTGAACTATTGGAAAAGAAGTGATGTGTTTATAAGCACACAATTTACATTGCAGTAAGCTATCTGCTTTTATGTCATGTCTACTTGAAGTATGGAGGTTTGGCTTATTAATATTTTTATAAATGGTTTGTTTCTCTTCACATATGTAATTCACATAACTTCTGTGTATTTTAATTTCTAAAAGCCTGCATTTAAAGTAAACTAATGTGTTGGCAAAGAGTAGATATTAGGTGTCCAAAAAAAAAAAAAAAAAAAAAAAAAAGGGCAAATGGTTAATGGTTATTTTCCAGCTGTTTTCCCTTGAGTTTTCTCTGCAAATTTAGTTTTATATTAGAATGCCATCTATATTTCAGTATTCTGACAGCCTCAGGTTTGGATTTGCTTGTTTTTTAATTTCCTTTTTCTCTTCTCTCCTATTCCTTTCTCTTCAAATTCATCTGCATTCAGAATTTCCAATGTACAAACTGCTGAACAAATAAAATCATCAAAGAACTCCCAAGTTTTAGTCCTATCAAAGTAATTGAAAATAAATCTGATTATTTGTTTTGTTTTGTTTGTTTTTACAAAGTGCAAAGCTAAAATTAGATCAAGGTTCAAATAAAAACGTATCTCAGAGTTGGAACAGGAACCAATTCAGGATGGACTTGTTATAGAAATTGCTCATGTGAGTTGCAGAGCTGACACTTAGCAGAAGAATAACCACCCCACCATATGTAGTACTGATTTGAGACATTATGGCAGTGACAAAATTGGCTGCACCAGCACTGTGGAAAGAACAGAGCATTATATGCAGTGTCACTAGCTCACGTTTTCACTCCTTCATCCTTTTCAAAGAAATCTTTGTGTGTTTATTTTCCCGCTGCGATGAATGATAGCTGACACAAAGGAACCCCAGCCATGGCAGTGCATACAAATCACAGCCATAATAGGATGCTCTGCAGTAATATCTATCTCCAGTAAAAATCCCATAAGTTTAGGCAGCTACTAGGAATGTGAGCAATTTAGTTCTGCTATTTGCTCAGCAAGATCCATCTGTTCTGGGGGTATCTGTCCTACTCCTTACCTTGCCGTATTCACATAAAAGGCAAAGAAGTGATGTTTGCTGACTTACTCAATTTTTATGCTTGATTGAGTTTGCTAGTAATATGTTCTTTGGTTGTTTTGTTGCTGTTTTGGTTTATTGCTTGTTGGTGGCTTCCCCCTTCAACCCTCCTCCCCCCCCCCCCCTTTTTTTTTTTTTAAACGTTCATGGGAAAAAACTATTCAAAATGGCAATTTGATTTCTGTACGTTTTGCAGATTGTAGTAACCCGTAACCCAGTCAGCTGAGAATTGCAGTGAATGAGACTAGCAAAGGTCTGAACTTCAATTCTGTAAGATCTTGGAAGATGTGGCTTCTTATTCACAGGTAGGCTTTTTAAATGCTGTAGATTTCTCTTTTATCTTCTGAAGACTGGTCATAACAATAATCAACTCACCCTGTTAAAATGTAATGAGTTTAGTTTTCTTTTTGTAGTTTTTTTTGAATTTTTATTTTGTTATTTAGGTACTAAATAAAGATTTGTTTTAAGCCTAGGAAAAAAGTCCCAGTACCTGTTATCTTCAATATATATCTCCACAAAAACATTTAATAGAATCCAAGCTTTGCAGTACTATTAAGCAATAGACTATTTACAAATGCCAGTCCTGTATGCTACCCTTCTCGGGCTATTTCAATTTACATGTAGATTGGAGAAAGCAAAAGTACTTCTGTAGCCTATACTGCACTTCTTAAAGGATAGAAATACATTTTGTCTTTGAGCTTTACTTCTATAATGCTTTTTCTTGTAATTTAAAAGTTTTCTTTTTGTCAAATGGCATTTGTCTCATTTTGGTGGAAAAAAATCCAATGTCATAGGTTGCCTCATGTTTATTAATGTGTTGTCTACTTTGGTTGTTGCTTAGGAAATAGTGTATAAACTATATATACTATAAACTGCTATATTCTTGACAAGAATCTAATCCTGGTGATGATGAAACACTGGAGTATTTTGTTCATATGTACCTAAAAAAAGAAAAAGAAATAACAAAAGAAGCAGATAGAGGCTGACATCCTTTCTGTATTTTAATGAAGTTTATTGTAATGTGTGTTGACCTGAGAGTATAATGTTTGAAGCACAGTCTCTGAAAGGCAGCAAAGTTTTTGTTCTTGTTTAGCTTTTTGGTCTATGATGAAGTGTACGCTAGAGAAGAAAGTAGAAGTGATGTGAAATTATTAAATTCTGCAATAGTTTGTGCATTACAGCTTTGCTGAATGCTGGCTTATGACACTTAATGTGCAGGCAGATGCAGAGCGAGGAAGATCTGGATACTGATTGTCACTTGCTGAAGTTGCATAGAAAAGGCGAACAGTTGTAGGGAGTTGTTTGAGGTTCTGTCGGTGTTTAATTTCAGCTGAATATGGAAGCAAAACCACTATTTATTGTGCTCTTTTTAAAAAATGTGTTGATATTGTTCTTCATAGTAAGAAATTTTTCTGCCTGAATACCATACTAAGCAATCATTGATGACATTTAAGCTGCACTTTTATGCTGTCCTGTGAAATTGTGTTGTTGATGCTGAAGTTCTGTTTTACCTGTGACTTCTTTTTGGTAATCAAGTGATATATTGTATGCAAACGCTTAAATTAGGGATTTATTACTGCCACAAAATGGTAACTTTAGATACAAAGATACTACAGTATTTATTCTTTTCAAACTGCATGCTTCTAAGGGTAATGGAAAGGATTTAGGAAGCTAATACTCTATCTCAGCGATTCTTCGAGATATGTAAAAAGAGCTTCTGTAGTGTTAACACTATTAGCACATATTATCTTGACTAGGTTCACTGGAATTTTTCCAAAGGAGTATTGGATTTGAAGGTACACTCTCTGCTTTGTAACATGTAGGATGATACATTGCCATGCAATTTTCTTTAAAATGCTTGGTTTTTTTGAAACCTGGATTGTAGTTAAAACTGTGCATTGTTTAAGGGCATTCAGCTGGACAGTATGAGACCATAATAGAACTGATAATAGCAAGCGATAAGAAATGATTACATTAAATTTCATCTGAAACTTCTTGAGATCTACGCTTAGTAGAATACTTTCTACAGACACAGAGAACACAGACAGGTGGAACACTGTATGCTTTATTTTTTAAATAAAAGATGGGGAGGTTAGACACAGTTAAAAACTTGGTAAAATTCAGAATAGGTTGAGTACCTAGTTCTCAATGCTGTGGTGTAAGCTCTACAAATTAGACTACATTTTTAAACACTCAAATGTACATCTCTACTCCACAGGAGTGCAGCTTCTTGTATGGGCTAGGTAAACCTACATAAGTTTTATACGCATATATATACAAGTAACACAAACATATAAGTAAAGATGGAGAAATCAGTATATTAATAAATATACTTTAGTAGAAAGATATTAGAGAAACAGAAAGTTGTATATTTGCCCAATTCAGAATGGATTGAAGTGCACATAATTTTTTTTAGCTACATAAATTTTCTGCTAAGGAAAATAATTCATAGATGTGTGAACCTTGAAGAGCTCAGAACACAAAGTGAGCATTATTTAGCCGTCTGTTCTGTCCCTCACAAGCCCACTCCCTTCCTCCCTTTTCACTGCGGTTTTTTGCAGATAAACATATTGCTTGAAAGTATGCATGGCAGGCGGTAATCCAGGTCATCTTAATATCTCCCAGTCTAGCAAAGCAAAACTGATAAGGAAAAAAAAACTTTCTTGTTATCAAAGAAATACTACAGAGAGATGAAGAGGCAGCTTGGTTGTGGGACAACAATCCATAATTTATTTTGCAGATGTCTCTGTAATTTAAGCAGCAGGCAGAACAACCACTCAGTTGTATATGCTCTGGGGAAAGGATACCAGAGCCTCGTAAATCATGGTAAGGATTAGAAGCAATGAACATTCATCTTCTTAACCTCGTAAAGCAATATTGCAAAGCTGAGGATTACAACTTACTGTGCAAGTAATCTTCGTTCAGGGATAAAGGGTGTCAACTTCTCAAAAAGCTTCTCTCAATTAACAGTGGTGTCTACCTCTAGAAGGAGAGAAATCAGTCTTAAAACCAATTTTTAATGAATTCCTATTATTAAAATACTCAACATTTCCCACAACAGAGGGAAATAGAGTAACTCTTTGTTGAGATAGTTGGCTTTGTTGTTTTTTGTTTCATTTTTGTTTTCAAAGAAAGGTGATGGGTGATGTTTTGAAAGCTTTATTTAATAGACAAAGCTCAAAAAAAAAAAAAAAAAAAAAAAAAAAAAAAGGACCACTTGCTTTTCCCATAAATCTGAACAACCCTTTTTCTTACTTGACCTCAGCTTCTTTTTATAATATAATTAGTACTTGATTCAACTGCTCATTGCTATTAAAAAGAGGCTTAATGGACGTGGACCTTTTTCAGCAAGTCCAGAAGTGGCCATGAGGATGATCAAAGGGCTGGAGTGCCTTCTTTATGAAGAAAGGTTGAGGGAGCTGGTTGAGGCTGGTTGAATGGGGCTCTGAGCAGCCTAACCTAGTGGGAGGTGTCTCTACCCATGGCATATGGGGATTGGATCTAGATGATACTTAAGATTTCTTCCAACCCAAACAATTCTGTTGATGTGTGACTATAAAAAAAACAGACTATGACTTCCAGCTGCTGACTTAAGAGACAGCATAGTGTTATCTGCTAGTTTATTTTCAGTGCCTTTGCATACTTTAAACCAAGTCATGCTGTCATTATTCTTAACACAACTGTATTTCTGTAAGCTTCTGCTTTTCTTCTAAGAAGTATCTTTATGAGCTGTCTTCTCAGCATCAATAATTGATGTATTTTGGGACCACTGATCCTTCTTGTTCCATTTTGGATATTTTTCAGAAAACATATACTAAACTTATGGGTTTTGGAGTAGGCTCCCTTGGTTAAAAAATATTTTCTTTGTTATTTCTTTTCCCACATGTTTTTACAAAAGAGCAGACATATACGTATGCAGTATTAAGTTGCTTTAGAAAATTGTTTATTTTTAAGTCCATTCCATTATTACAAAAAATACAGTATTTGAAGACCTTTGTATTAATTCAGATTTTCCTGAAAGTTTTGAACAATCTCCTTTTAAATGATGAAATTAGAAAGGGGTATCCAAATGGTTTAACTATCACTCTTTTGGAATCTATGAGTCATAGCTTTGAAGAAAGAAACAGTATTTTGTTACTAAGCATACTAAGTCTTTGAAAATAATTATGAACACCCCCCCCCCCCCTTTTTTTTTTAATGAAAAAAAGTCTCCTCTTCTGGAGACATTCAAGACCCACCTGGACACCTACCTGTGCAACCTGGATGTAGGGAGCCTGCTTTGGCGGGGGGTTGGACTAGGTGATCTCTAGAGGTCCCTTCCAAAAACATCAAGAAAATTCAGTCTGTTGTATAGATCAGCACAGGAAATCAGTAGTCTAACGTAATACTTTTCAGTTCTTCTCCTAGGGTTCAGTGCTTTCAATGTCTGACTTTGGTGCCTCAGAATAATCTAGCTTTTGAAAATCAGTAGAATTTGTATTTATCAAGTTTTTATAAAGAAATAGTAGGTGGCTCTCAGAACAGGCTTGTCTGAAAAGAACTGTGAGAGTAGGAATATAAATAATGATATTGACCTGTTCCTGGTTAGTTAGCATGATTGAATGGGATTCCTTTTCCAGGCTTTTAAATAGTAGGCTTGTTTAGTAATTTGAATGTCAGATTTTAAAATGTACTGCAATGTTAATACTGTGCTTATTACACTCTTATTTATTTCATTGCCTCTCCCTTTTCAATTTAGCACGTTATTTCTAATGATATTAGGTAAGTGGAGGAAAGTGCCCTAGTTTTGAAAAGGAGGCTGCTGGAGGAGATTTTTTAACCATCATGACATGAGAAACTGCTTTTCCAGACCTATATTTACTATTAAAAATCCATCCACAAAATAACATAGTAGTTATTAATCAGCTTTAAAATTGAACAGATCTCTGAATAAAAATGCAAAAATGCTCTAGCATCAAGGAATAATGTTCCAAGGAGAAAAGATCTTTAAAAATACGTGGGTTTTTTTGTTGTTTTTTTTTTTTTTCCCAGTCACTTTGTAAAGGAGAGCCTTTTATTGACGGCAGGCCTTCATAAATACTGACAGAAGATCACAATCATGGGACTATCGTTTCTTATTTTTTTTCAGCTGCTTCAGGCCAGACCATTTTCAGATGTTTAAAACAGTGCTGTAGAGTTTTACAGGCCTCAGGGCAAGACTTTTTGTCATTAGAATAGCTGTATCTTCCAATAATCTCATAGTGATTGTACTAGAAATGTCTTTCTAGACAGTTTTTCTGTGGTGATTTTTCTTCTAATTTAACCA